TTTCCCGTGAGGCAGGAAACCCCATTTAGAATGAGAATCCAATTCATCTCCCTTTGGCATACCAGGTAAGAGTCAAGGTTGCAGGCATGGTAACCAATCCACTGAAAAATGAGTAGAACCAAAACACAGAGGACCAAGGATCCTGGCTAACTAGCCAGTGGGCATCTTCACTGATAACAGATTTTATTCAAAATGCCACCCCCTCCCTTTACAGAGGACTGGTCTCCCACCCAGTCCCCAGAGTTTGGCACCTAGCAACTATGTCGGTACCCTTACCATGGCTGGTGAGACTGGCTGGCTCAAGCCAGGCTGGCTAGACATATTCCTAAAGACAGTAAGTTGGTGTCTTTTATAAGTTGCTATGCCTTTGGTCGCAAGGAGTAGAATACTTGACTCATACTGTCTTAAATATAAAGGGATTTTGTTGACTCACATCCTCAACCTGTTCTAGGAGAGATTTAGGCTGTAGCAGTGATTTGATTGAGGTTTCAAATGATGTCACCAGGATCCAAGTCTTGGCTTCCTTCTTCTGAGTTGGCTCAACCCTCAAGTTTGCTTCCCTCATGGTAGTAAAAAATGGCTACAGCAGTCCCAAGCTCTCATTCTCACTTAGATAGGCCCAGGGGAGAAAAGGAAGTTGGTACTCCTGATTTCTAGACAAATCTTCCCCGGATTCACTCTAATTGGACATTTTTAGGCCCTGTGCCTGTCCCTGAACCAACTCTGGACAGGGTAGTGGAATCCACTGGCTGACTGAAGCCAACTTGAATTTCCCTCTGGAACTGCAGGGAAGGTCCATCTCTCACACACTGCATTACAGGGGAACTGGAATATTGTTAGCAAGGGGGAAATATGTCCCACAGAGGAAATCAACAAATATACACTAACATCTCCCAACTTATGGAGTTGGATATAATGGGGGCTCATTCTACCCACGGATGGTAGGTACAGCATGAAGGAGGGCAGACAAAAACAGGTAGGACAGAGACACAGAGACAGAGGTGAGGAGAGAAAGATGATGGATTTTAAATTCTTGCTTCTAGTCCTTTCCTAAGGTCTACTTCTATTCCTACCTTTCATTCCTTAACAAATCCCAGGGCCTTATAAAAAATCCCCCTTTTTGCATAAGTTATTATGAGTTGTTATTGGAGTCACATTTGCACCAGGAATGGTTTCTAGAACATTTCCAGGCTACTGCTGAGGCCTGCCTGCCTTTACTGCCCCTTTTGCCTCAGAGGGGGGCCTTCCATTTGGTAGTTCTGCTACCTATTTTAACGGTGTCTTGGATTAAATGTGGCAAGCAGGAACAGAGAGCAATGTGAGGTGACCATGAACCCGAGACAGGCTGGCAATAGTTTATCAGGCCCATTTGATACTGGTATAGGGAAAACATTTGACTTCATTTACTTAGCAGATGTTTATCAGTTCCCTCAACAGGAATGTTGCAAAAATCTTCAAAGGAGCCTTTCTTTCCCTCGCCCCGCACCTTGGATGCGATATTCAGTGAAATATGTTGACTTTTTTTTTTCTTTACAAAACCCATAAAAACGTCCTGTTTGACATGCAATGTTGTGACAAGCCATAGTAGATTGTGTCAATCATTTTGCTTTATGTTACATTAAGTGACATATTGTAATGTGATTGCTACAACATGGGATGACACATCATAATGCAAAATATCATCTGGGAAGTGTGGAAAAACAACAGAAGACTTGAAGCCATTTTTCACTTTCTAATTCTTTGAATAGGATGGCGGAAAAGATCTCTTTCAAAAGAATAGGTACCTGGGAAAGGGCTGATGTCTTGAATGTCAGGGGTAGGGTGCCCACATGCTGCTTTCCCTTTGTAATTAACAGGTGATATAGAAAATATTTGCATTCTTTGGGAACTGACAGATTCTGAGTTTGAATGGAATGTCAGTAAGATTTTGCAGTTCTTCAGTCACAATATCTTTTCTGCACACATTGCCTTCATGATTTTTGTATCGAAAGAATTCCACCGTCTTCCACCCTAGTTCATTTTCTCCTTTTTAAAATCTCTGGTATTCCTTTCTCTTGTTCTACAAAGACTGAGGAAAAAGTGCCTTTTCCAATTTCACGGTTAGGTTAGTGAGGGTCCTATAGTGTAACAGCTTTTTAAATGTTGACTGTGTCCCCAGAGTCTTACACAGGGCCTGGCATATTGTAACAGTTAGTGTTTGTTGAATGACTTACAGAAGAGTCTTCATCTTTAATATTTTCTTCACATTTAAGGAGTGGCATTTAAGGAAATCTAATATGTCTCCAGGTGTTTGTGTCCAAGAGCTGCCATAGCGAATCGCCACAAACTTGGTGGCTTAAAACCACAGAAATGTGTCCTCTCACAATTCTGGAGGCCATAAGTCTGAAGTCAAGGTGTCAGCAGGACTGTACTCCCTTTGAAGGCATTAGGGAAGGGTCCCTCCTCACTCCTCCCAGCTGTTGGTGGCCCCAGGTTTCCTTCGCTGTGGCCATGTACCTGAGACTCTGCTTCCACCTTCCTATGACCCTCTCCCTCGTTTCTATGGCTTCTCCTCTTCTTGTAAGGACATTTGTCACTAGATTTGGGGCCCACATAGATAATCTTGAGGTGGCTGATCTCATCCCAAGATCCTTAATTAGATCTGCAAAGAGGTCTTTTTCCAAAGAAGGTCACACTTATAGTTTCCCGGGAGGCTTATCTTTTGGAGGGCTGCCATTCAACTCAGTATACCCCAACTAACTGAAATAATGAAGTGGGGGTGTGTAGGGATGTTAACATTTTTGGTTGGTGGTTGCATAAAAATCTTTGTTTTCATCTATGTTTAAAACCTATGCTGATTACTTTCATGCCTTAGTAATTATGGTATTATGACGATCATTATATGTTTCTTTAATAATATCTCAGAGTCTGCAACCTGCGTACGAATTTGCGCTATTAACTGAAGAAATCGAGACTTTAAAAAGCTGAGATGAATATATTGATCTCAGTACAGACTCTTAAAGTCCTTTAAAGACAAGCTCACTGACTGCCCCTCCCCCCTGAATGTACTGTGAGGTGTATGTGATTTGCCTTCTGTTTAAATAGAACGTAGGGAGAGATTCTGGTTGGTGGAGGAATTCTAATAAGTATACCCCATTAGTGTTTCCTTAAATGTGAATTCCATCCCTGTTCCCTGCCCTCCTGCCCATAAGCACCTACAGACATAGTTCAGAGAGGAGAAACACTAATGTATGGGGTGAACAGGGGAGGCCTCCGAGGACAGGTGGTGTGATAAGCAGACAGACCATTCATGGGAGAAGGTATATAGCCTCTTGGTTCTGCTCGGGGCCACCAAATGCTTACTTCAGAAGAGCACTTGTCCTCAAGAGCCTCAAGAGTGCGGGGCCAGGCCCTCAGAACCAGGTGCTTCCTGGTCGTGCTGGCAAAAAGGATGCCTCTGGTCCTTTCTAACAGCGGCAGTATAACCATAGACTTATGTCAACTTTTTCTCTTTGTTCAATAGCTTATGGCTGCATAGAGTAATTTAATAAATCAAAATCGTCTCTTTCAATTTTCACTGTGGCTACGTTGGTGTTCTTTTGAATGGAGTTCAATTATTGGGATGGCATACATTACTTTGAATCATTTTACAGCTCAATCAATACACACATCTTCATAATAAGTATTAATGCTCTTTGTATGCCTACCCCAGTGACCCACACACTCAGCACCGTGTTAGGATTCAGGCAGCTCAGGGTAATTAATATTTTTATTTTATTCTTCCACTGAACTCTGCCACTCCCATCTTCATGTGGCCCTTCCAAAAGGAAAGAGAAATTCTGAAACAAATTATCATCCAGAAGGCTATAGCACTGAAAACACTTCATGAAAAAAGTTTGAGAACTGAAACTGTGGAACCCCACAGCTGTAGAACAGCCTCAACTCATTAGAATAAGTAGCCTAACTGCCTTTAGTCTTTGAAAATGGCCAGCCAGGAAGAAAGAGAATGTTTTCCTAGTATGTTTAGAAAAGGGAAAATCTTAACCCTCAAACAAATACCCTCAAACGAATATCAAAGGCCTCTAGCTAGGCAAACAAAGAAGGTAACCAGGGAAATACCTCTTGAAGATACAATGAAATCTGAATCTGATATGCTGAGGGTCCTGATCACTACCTTTACTAAATAAGATTTTTATACAATCTCACTTTTGATTATATTCTTACAGTCAGATATACAATGAACAATTTATTTTAAAGTTTGGTACATAGTGAATTTTTGTCAGGCAAATGGTTACATGTCTGAATTTCTAAAAGGTTTTGGTTTCCAGTAGGAACTCAATGCCAATCTACCGTGAAGGCGCAAGTCTCGCCTGTATCTTCGCAGATGAAGAGTAACTCAAGCACCACTTCTCGTGTTCCCTCCCAAAGGGGTCATGTAATCTCTTGTATTTGTATTTTAATCAGAATGTGTATACTATATCTACCGGTTTAAAGTAAACATCTAGATGCTCTTTTTGTTGCTTCTGTTAACTCTTTGGACCCCAGATAATTGACAAAGTCATCTTAGTTGGGGAGAAAGGTCAGAGGAGAATACAACAGTTTGAACTAGGGTCCTGGGCTAAATTGTGGGACCAGAAGGAATTTTGTTTGTTTGCTTCACAATAATGGGAGCTTAACCCCAGGGGCTGGGAAACAGGCTGCTGTGTCGTTCTTTTGAGTGCCCTCCACGTGGTGTGTACTCAGAGAGGTGTTTTAAAAATGTGTGCAAAATGTCTTCACAGTTTGTATCAAATATTGTCCCAATGATTTTATTTTACTTTTGTATTTGAGCTACATTTCAGTGCTGGCTTATTACCTGTATGAGAACCTCTTTGCCAGGGGTTATAAAAGGAAGAGGAAAAGACCTTCACGCATTTAGCAGTGTGGTTTCTACACTTTCATGTCCTTACAAATATTTAAACTCAGAGTCTGATTTCACCCATTTCTGGGGAGTTTATTTCAAAGTTTCAGGTTTTTGAACATTTCATTTCAATTTCATTGTATTTTCCATGAATACATTTCATTGTTATTTTTCTACTTATTTTTATTGTTCTTTGTCCCAAGACTAGAAAGCAGTGCTGCTCAGTCAGAAAATTTTATGTAACTAAATAAAGAGAGCCCTGAGTATAAATTTAAGGCATCCCATATTGCTTTAGTTCTGTGTATATATTTATTCTGGTAATTTGATAACATAGAGCAGGGAATGAAGAAAGTGAAGAATGATAAAAATATCAGGGAGTGGGCATGGTACAGTCAAATCCTATCAGCTCCAGGATCAGTTATCTGTTTGAAGAAAATTACATTGCATCTGTCAATAGACTTAATAACTCAGTGCCTGCTATTTGATAATGGATAATCACACAAATTCAGGAAGCTAGACCATATGCCATTCCAGTTTTCTATTCTCTTATTCACCTTAATTTTCTAGATGAGTGAAATTATCTAGTCCTGGACTCAAGATGGCATACATGGAAATAGAGCCTGCAGGAATCCAGCCGCCTCTGAGGTTAGCCCTGCACAGGTCAGGGCTGCCGGCTTATGTCTGTGACCCTGGTATCTAATTGAAATGGGCAGAGTTTGGAATATTGTGAACTTGAACAATGCAAATGATTAATGGATGGAAAATAATAAAGGGCGATGTGGAATAGAGGGAATTGGCTGGTGAGAAACAGTGAGGCTGTGGAGGCCAAGGATTCAGCATCTAAGGAATAATTCTGCATCATTATGTTTGGCCATGAATGATAGGGACTAAATGGAAGAGATGATTTAAGGATACTTTTTCCTGGAAGCAGGGAATCTCTTACATGGGCCCTTCATTCCTATTGATCCAGGATACTATTTCTCTATTCTCAAATAAGACAGTCATTGTATCACTTAGTAATAATTTTGGCTATGAGTATTGCATGAATTAATTTAGTTGCCTTAAAGAAATAAGTGTTTCTTGTTCTCAGGTATCAGGAAGACCAGATGGAGGCCATTTCTGGTATAGATGTAAGGTGCTTAATGATGTCATCAGAGAGTCGAACTCTTTCCAACCTTTTGCTGTGCCCAGCAAACCAGGGCTTCTGTCTTCTTGCTTGTTTTTGGTGGTTACCAGGTGGCCACTGCCTGTCTCTTCCTGTGTAAGACAGTAAGAGAGACATTGAGCCATCAGCATGTGCCCCTTCATATCAGGAGCAGCAAACCTGCCCCAGAGGCTTGATAGACTTTTATTTTCATCTCATTAGCCAGAACCGCATCACATTGCCATCTTGAACTTCTAATGAAGCTGGGCATATGAATATCTCACTTGGGGCTGGGCATTCTTCTCTTGAAAACAGTCAGAGTTTTGTGAACAAGGAAGGAGAGAAGAACACATATCAGTCAGGCAGTGAGCCGGGAGTGCCATAGCCATCTACCTAAGATTTACTGTGGAAGGGGAATAAATGTTATGCAACTGTGGTATTTTACATAATCACAGGAGAGGGTGTTCCAAGTGATGCTGATCGTGGGGGGCAACAGGACAGTGCTGCAGTCTGTGTTTACATGGTCTTCTTAATATGAATGAATTGGATGTCTTTGGAACTTTTATCAAATCAAGCAAAGATGTGCTAAGAGAGTTGACTTACTAGGAACAGGAAATTGAATCCATATTTTCAACCGGGCTCTTGGTTGGAATTGTTCCCTAGATTTCTGTAAGGCCTTAGTCTAAACTGAGCTTTTCTCTCCCAGATTTATTGACTTTTTGGATCTCTAGTTTCTGTGGGGTGGGAATAATAATCGAGTCATGTTCTTAGAGGAGGAGGACACCTCACTGAAAGGAGTCTATCACTTTTTGTCTTAATCATACAGATAAGAACTTGAAAACCAGAGGGATCACTTATTACATGTACTTTGTCTCTGTATTAAATTTTTTTCTCCTTAAGAAGCTCATAGGGTTTGATCAGAATCTAACATCTCCCAGAAATGCTAAAGAGGGAAGTCGAGGCAAATCTTATTACCCTATTTTGCAGATATGGATCCTGAGATTCAAAGGCTTATTACTGAGTTACACAGTGATAGTCACCACTTCAAACACTATTACAAATTTCTCCCCACTCAGCCATAGTGCTTTGCGGCAAATGGATGCCTCCTAGAAGGGTATATCACAACCTCAACTGAAGAAAAGGCCATGTGTCAAATGTTTCCTTTTGAAGCAGTGGTTCCCTGAGTGGTCAGTTTGTGTGTGCAAAAGGCCTCAGCCGGAAGATAAGCAGGAAAGTGGGTTTCTCTTGGTACATCATGAGGCCTTGATGATGTCACCATTTTTGTTCCAGTATCTTTTAAGCAAGAAGGAACTTGTTTCCAATTTAGAATTTGTACTCATTCTTGCACCTAATCATAGAATAGCTGTAAACCAGTATTTATAATGTGGGAGCACCTTTTTTTTCTTTCATTTGCTTACTCTTCCAGCTATGGAATGTCCACTAAGTCCCTATAGCGGCTCTAGGTGGGGAGAGTAGGAGACAGAGAGAGAAGGTCGCTACTCCCCTGAGGCTCCCTTCTAGTGAAAGGGAGGCACAGACGGCAAACGGACTTGCTAGTGCTTTCAGTGAGCTGCACTCCAAAGGGGGCCAGGGGAAAACGACTTGATAACTTTTCTTACCATAGTTCCCAGGCACTTGATTCTTGCACCATTCATCCTTGTCTTGTGGATGAAAACTTGGGCTGGGTGTATAATTTTCCTAGTCATTTAGTTACAGGAAGGACCTCCAAAATATCTGAAGGACACGACTGAAAGGTAGAACAAGGCAGGTTTGCCGAAGGAATGGTAAACCCCAAAGGGCCTCCCCTTGCTTTGTGGGAAAAGGGAGAGAGCAGGGAGGTGTTGAGGTGGGGAGGCAGGTGGTGGCCAGCCAGGTCATGGGCTTGATTCCCCTTTATTTCTACTGTCAACAGCAGCCACAGAGCACAGAGGCTGTGAGCAAGGGAGGGACGTCCTCTTATGTGGAGTTTCCAAGATCATTCTGACCTTTGGTGGGAATGTACTGTGGGGAAGCAAGGGAGGAAACAGGGAAACTGGTCTGTGGGGTGGGAGGTGGGGGGGCCCTTGCCGTTGTCCAGGGAGAGATGAAGGTGATGCGGAGGAGGGTGGAGATGGCTTCAGGATATGTACAGTCTTCCAGGGACACCCTTCTCTCTGCCAGCCCGTACACCCTCCGCAGGGACAGCCACCCCGTAGTGCCCAGCAAGTCCTCACTGTCAGATACCTTTGGGAGTTAAAGAGGTGCCGTTTATGGGATTTAGAGAAAAATGTCTTTTTGGTTTCCCTAACTTCTAATATTTCAAATCTCCATTTAAATGGAGGTCTTAGAATATAAGCAAGTATTGAAGGCATAAAATCAGGCTAAGGTAAACTTTCCCTGACTCAGAATACTTCTGATTGTCACCCTTTGGCATAATTTAGCCTTTATTCCCTTTCAGAGGAAAAAGCTTCATTAAATAGTATGAGAATTCAGTTTTCGGACTTTTTAAAAAGATGGTCTCACTGCCCTTCCCCTCTCTCTTTCTTTATTCCTTTTTTCCTAAAGGAAAGACGAGAATGAGAAAGTAGAGGGCTTGATTTCATTTAGAGAAAATCCAAGGGGTGGGGCAATCCCTCACCCAGGTTTATGTTTATGTACGTATTTGTCAGTAATTATTCTGAGGAGGGAAAAAAGGGAAATTCAGTGATAATTTTAGAAAATAGAGAAACAATCTCTGATAAAACCATAAACTACCCAGGGGCTGCCATCCAACTGAGCACAGCATGGGGTCTCAAAGCAGGATTTGTGAAGCAAAAGCCATGATTAAAGTAAGAACAATGCTGGCTTTGTGTGACCCTACTGGCCCCTGGGGTGTAATTTAAGTCTCCCATCTCTTGCCTAACAAGCCCTCTAGTCCTCTGCCGGGCTTGGCTCCAGGAGGTGTAAATGCCCAGGGAGGGGGGCTCTGCACATCTAGGTCTGGGAAAGTGGGCTTGTTAACCCTGGACCTCTTTACCCTGGGATGAAACTGAGGCTGCGGTTCAAGGTGACACATTTGCACACATACACCCGCACACCCACCAGGGTGGGGCTCAGCAGAAGGCTGCTGATCTGACTTCTCTAATCCTTCAGGCTGACTCTTCTAGTGAATTTATGTCCGGCTAAGTTTTCTACTTGCCTTTCCTGTTTCTCATGGGATCCCCTGCCTGCCCACCCTGTTTTCCTGCTCTGCTGTCCAGTCCTTGAGTCTGGGGCTCCCCAGGCCTCCTCCGCAGCTCTCCCTTCTCACCCTCACCCTTCCCCTGTATGCCAGGCTCTCCTCCCTCCCTCCTTTGCTCTTCTAGACTGCACAGCGCCCAGGTCTCTTGTCCCTCGCTGTTTCTTCTCCATTCCTGGTGGCCCCGAGCCCTATCTTATAGTTGACAATAATTACCGATGTTTGTTTCCTTCATATTCCATTTGTTACCATAAGTGGGCAGGGGAATCCAAGTCAGTGAAGCCTTTTGTGGCTCTGACAGCCTCTCAGGGACAAATTGGATGTGTCCTGCTGGAACGGAATGAGCCACGGGTCAGGCTCTGACTGCATGTGGCAGGTCTGTCATAGCCTCTGTGGCCTCATGGTGCCTGTTTGCAAGCAGAAGAGGTCAGACTACATAAAGTCTAAGACCCTTAACCTCCATTTAAGCTTTAAGCATCCATAGTTACAACAGTAAGGGTGCTCCTTATTACCAAGGCTGGTCTAAAAAGCAACACACTGTGAATGAGATAATTCTCCCACAGGCCTGTAACTGCCTGGGCAAATTATTGGGAACAGAGGGTCCTGATGAGAGTGGAAGAGCCTGTAAGTGTCCTTGTACCTCTCAAGAAGGGGTGTGTCCTATCTCAGCTGCATCAGATGAGTTCTAGGCCTCTGGTCAGATGAGTTCACTGTTGACTGGGAAAGACCCCCCCACATCCAGCCCCGACTGGCCCAGGCGCACCCATCTCTGGCCTAACTGCAGTGGCCCTCTGTGACAGCAGCTGCCTGTCCTGATAGCCTGTTCACAGGGATGCACCTGCCTTGGGACATGATGAGTTGGCCAGCTCTCCCTGCTGTTTGTGAGCAGACCTCCTCTGGGCCAGACCAAAAAACACTCCACGAAACTCATTCAAAATGGGGGAAAACATGGAGCTCTGTGACTTACAAAATCTTTTTCTTTTCCTGTAAGGCTTTTGCTTCTCCACACTTGGTCAAATTGTCCCAGTCCTCTGAGGCTGTGGTTCTGTTGTCCCCACTGGCCTTCTCTGCTTCTTATAGGCAGTAGGCCAGCCTGGCCACAGGCCCCTTCTTTGCTGCAGTCTGCCCATAGCATGGTCTGTAATTTCTCTGATGATGTTTCTGTTTTTTTCAAGGCACATAAAACTTCATGGACCATTTCTTCCCTCTTTCCTAGAAGCAAAGGCTTGCACACAGGAGAGAGTGGCAAACAGAGAAAGTCACTTCCCAGTGCCTGTGGTGGAGAGTGCTGACCCAGCACGGGGCCCTGGGACTCAGAGCCCAGCTCCCGAGCAGATGGCCGCTGTGTGTGCACACTCATCACACAGCTTCCTGCGTGGCACGTAGAACATGATTTCTAGTGATCAGTGCTCAGCGTTCAGTATGAGAGATGTAGCAGTCTTGCTTCTTCTCTCTGCTCTCTCTCTTCCCGTTTTCCCTCTCTCCTGTTTTTTAAAAAAGGAGCAGATATTTTTCATAGCTAGCCCAGATGCTACTATTTCTGTGTTATTTGCATTTACTGAGTTGAGATGCAACAGATGTTTCAAAAGGGTTTAAAACTAAATTCCTTCTTAGGGACCATGGCAAATCACGCACCTAACTTTAAAGACTTGTTCTACTCAGGCTCTTGGCAGATGTTCTTTTTTTTTCCAGGGTGGAGAGGGGAAAGAAGAAGAATAAAATGACAATGAAAGGATATAATCATAATTACGATTATTTATTGGTTGAGTTAGGACTTCGAACTACTCCAAATAGTTTTCCATCTGTAGCTCACTGCTACCCCATGGGGGCTTATTGCCCCCATATTGCTTATGAACAAATTGAAGCTCAAATAGCATAAAGGAACTGAATGAAAGTGAAGCTGACCCACATTTGAAGATACGAGCTCAACTAGATCACGGAATCCTAGAGTTGCTGAGTACACACACACAACTTGAAGTCCTTCAGTAAACCAGATTTCCTAGCTTTTATCAATGAGAGAGGTCTCAGTATGAGTGGCACCCACATTTTACTGGACTTCAGTCTCCTGTATTAACTGTGAGTGCCCAGTAGAGAAAAATATGCTAACAGCTTTTCTCAGATGCATCCCCCAATAGCTTTCTTATTTATTCTCTGCTCTTCTGTAGATGTCTGAAGCCACATACCTCACACTTGCTACACAGCTTTTGTGTGAACACTTTTCCTTGCTGAGACCTTCTAGAAGCTCCAGTCCCAGGCCCCTGTCATCTTGTACCCTTTATACTGCACTGTGCTGAAGCCAGGCTGTGATCCATGCAGGATGGGATGCGCCCCCACCCCCCAGCAGCCCTTCTGTCTTCCAGGTGCCCATAAATATGCTAACAGCTTTTCCTTAGAACCTTCTCTCTCCCCAGGGCCTGGGGCTGGGTACAGATCTCCTGCTGTCTGGTTGTTCTATCTTTGTCTACGGTCTGTCCATCAGTCAGTGTGATGCAGGCCCACTGAGGGCGCACCACTCTGCTTGCTCTTCCACTTCAGCTCTTACATACTAAAATAATTTGAAAAGGGGTGACTAGCTACCAGAGCAACAGAAAAACTGGGATCTCCTGGGTGAGTGCTCACTAGCTCCTGGTAGGTCTGTGCTGGCAGTTCTCCCAGCACAGCCACTCAGCGTGGGGAGGCAAGCGGCTGGTGGCTCTGACTCAGCCGCCCCAGGGGGGCAGGACGGAATCGCAAGAGCCGCGGCCTCCTGGCCATTCCTACAGCCTCCACCACCACCTCCTCTGCCAGAAGGCTCTTGTCTCAGGGGGCCCAATATCTAACTTCTTTCAGATCTTTGCACCAAAGTCACCTTCTCAGTAAGACCTTTCTTAGCCACCCTATTTAAAATTGGAACCTCCTCACCCTGGACCTAACTAACCCACTTTTCTGCTTACTTTTTTTCCATAGCATTAAAAAAATACACATAATACAAAATGTATCATTTTAACCATTTCTAAGTGTACATGCAGTTCAGTAGTATTAATGTTCACATTGTTGTGCAACAGTCACCACAACTTTTTCATCTTGGAAAACTGAAATTATATCTGTTAGACAACTCCTTTTTCCTCCTCCCCCTGGGCCCTGGAAACCACTCTTCTACTTTCTGTCTCTATGAATTTGACTGCTCTAGGTATTTCTTACACATTGAAGAATACGATATTTGTCTTTTTGTGGTTGACTTATTTCACTTAGCACAATGACCTCAAGGTTCCTCCGTGTTGTACCATGTGTCAGAATCTCCTTCCTTTGTAAGGTTGAATAATACTGCATTCATTGTACATACACACACCCCTTTTTGTTTATCCATTCAGCCACTGATGGACACTTGGGTTTCCCCCCCCTTTTGGCTATTGTGAATAATGCTGCTAGGAACATGTCTCCATAGCATTTTTCACTTTTTCATATTCTCAATTAGGTACTTGTTTCTTTGCCTGGTGTCTTCTATTAGAATATACGGTAAAAAATTTTAGTTTTAATCCCTGTTATGTTCCCAGCTCCTTGAACAGGACCTGGGAGGAAGTAGGTACTCAGAAATATTTGCTGGGTGGAGTAGAGGCAGGAGAAGGTAACCAAGTAAAAGAAAGAAAAGCTTCTGAAGAATCAGAGTAATTGATGTGGCATTAAATGGTCTCTAGATCTAAGTTATATTATCTCCTTTACTTCAGATCACCCACAGACCAAGCTCCTTACTTTCTCAGTCTGCTTCTCCATGACAACATCAAAAGCTGAGGACACCAGATGGGACTGGGCTGCTGGCCTCGCCAGTGGGACTGCCTCAGTTCTTTACTCACGGAGACTGATGAAGGGGCTGTTTGATACATTTTTCAGGACAGCAGTCCAATTTTTCACTGCTACTCCCAGTCTGGTGCTGCCAAGCCAAAATTTATATGTGAACTTAAAACTGAAAGAAGGAGGAAGGATAGGAGAAAATAAAAACTCTTCTCCACAGCTGTGCCTTGTCTTTTTCTCATCCCCATCCAGTTTAGAACTCTCATGACCCAGAATCTAGACAACAAGAAAGCTTAAATAATGAGAGTGTTTCCTTGAAATAATTACTGATGATACTGAACCCAAGCAGGGACCAGAAATACCTTCCAGATCATCAGATATTATATTGACCTTAGAATAATCTGAGCATGAAGATGGTTGCAGACGTATTCTTTGAAAATTGGTCCTTTAGGAACCTCTTAACTCAAAGTGTGGTCTAGGTACCAGCAGTGACAGGAGCATCATCTGGGAGCTTGTTAGGAATGCAGGATCTCAGGCCTCTCCCTGGCCTACGGAATGAGACTCTGCCTCTTAACAACATCTCCAAGGCCCCCAAATGCACCCTATTATAGACAGTTAGGGCTGCTCTAACAGGGTGGCTGATGAACAGCAGGAATTTATTTCTCAGGCCTGAAGCCTGGAAGTCTGAGGTCAGGGTGCCAGCATGGTTGGGTTCTGGTGAGGCTCAAATTCTTGTTGTAACTTCAGATGCAGAGAGGCAGCCACCAAGCAGTCCAGCCTCTTTTTATAAGGGCACTAATCCCATCGTGGGGCTCCACCCTCACGGCCTAATTACCTCTGAGCACCATCATGCTGGGATTAGGGCTTCAACATATGAATTTTCAGGGGACATAAACATTCAGTCCACTGCATACCCTGAGTTTGAAAAGTGTTGGCTTAGAATATTCACTCCTTTAAAGAATACATCCTTTCCTAACTTCTAGATACATTTTGCCTTTACTGTAACTTCAGAGACTAAACATTGGACATAATCCATCTAACTAATTTCTGAATCCCACTATATTAGATCACTTGCCTTTTCTCTGGAAAGTCAGTTTATTCTAAAGATCTGCCAATTTTCAGACTGTGGAAATAACTTTGAAATCACAGCATCAGAACCAAGAATCTATATAACTTAAGATTCAGTGGTAAATTGCCAAAAATAACTTAAAACAGCAAAAGTGCTTCAGATATTAGAGTATCCTTGCTCTTTTTTCTCAGAATACTTGAGTCCTTGTTAGGCATTGTGTATCTAGAGAAAGAGAAGAGCTCTAAGTGAATTAATGTCATCCAGCAGGCCTGTGTCCTATCCCCCAACTAAATTCTGCAGTCCTTAGGTCTGAATTCTGTCGCCTGTATTACTCCCATCCTGTTATTGCCGCTCCTCATGTGTACAACTTGGTGTTCAACTGTCTCTTAGTGATATGATTCCAGATTATTACCACTGTTCCCTGTCTATCTGAATCACTAAATGAGTTTGGGGGTTACTCGCACACACACACACACAAGTATCAAGTTTCTCTCTAGGGAGCTCAGATGCTAAGTCTCCTTGACTGAGTCACCTTTGTTCACTTAGGGACTTTACTCTTTATTGTTGAAGTAATTTCTGTATGATGATATGTCCACAGGACCTCACTGAGGTATAAATAGCTTGGGGTTGATAGTTTAGGAAATGGTTCATGGTATGCCACTTTCCCTGATGGAAAAAATAACTGCCTCTATCTTCAGGAAAATAAATCCACCTGAGACATACTCTTTGTTCTCTAGGCAACATTGTGGGGCAGGAGCCCCAGTAGATTGGAACTTGAAGTTTAGTGATGGCAGTAGTTTACCCTCCTGGTTTGATAGATGGGCAGATTGAGGGCCAGAAGATTGAACTGATCCACCCAGAGGTACGGAGGTATGTGGCTTGTGGGTGTCAGCCGAGAGAACTCATTGTGTTCAATGAAGCAATGGGAATGTGCTGACTGCCAGCCCTCAGCTGGATGCACTTTATTTAAAAATACAAGTAGGTATGCAGCAAGGGCCTCCCACTTCATGTACAAGACACCAGCCCCTGCTGTGGGACACATCCACACACTAAAACATGAGGACATTTTAATGTGGTGCTGGAGGTCTCTATCTCATTAGAGTAACAGTCGGCTGAAACGGGCCCTGAAACGCCCTGCGAGGTACGGGTGACCTCTCCCCGGAAGTGCCTCTGGAGCACTTGCTTCCTTGTGAGCTTTCTTTTCCTTTTTCTGTTGCCTTGAAGTCAAGGCATAGAAAAACCGTCAGGATCCTCAATTTGGGCCAAATGACCTGTGTAATAGCAGTAGTTACAATTGATTCCAGAGGACACACACTCTTTGCTTCTTTCATTTCTATGTTATGAGGCAAAGAGAAAGAAGAATGAATATTTGGGTTAGGGAGTGAAAAAATCAGCAATCTCCTCTCTGGATAGGCACCAGCATAGATGTATGAGCCCTTAACCCAGGGCGGGCTAAAGTGCCTCTGACATGTAATAGAACTAAAATCAGATATCAGGATACTAAGAGCATCATTAAAGGGTGCACTGCTGGGGGCTCCCAGAGTCAGTCACAGGCATGTATGAGGGCCTGGCCACATTGTGAGTGTCTCATGTGCATATAGACTCGGAAACCTTCCCTAGAAAAGTGATGGAAGGGGCTGAGTCATAAAATAGTGAGAGTGAATGGCTGCTTCAGGACAGCTGTTCACTGTTGGTGAAGAAGCTGGGCTTAAAGGCCTAGGAGAGGGAGTGGGTGGTGGTTTTTGTTTTGTTTTGATTTAAATGACATGGTTCTTGCCTTAGCATTGATTTTAATTCAGGATATATTTGAAAGGAGAGGAGATCTTTTGATTTAGGCAGATGATTGAGTAAGTTCCAAGTGGAGAATTTTAGATAGCAAGCCTGTGGCCAGAGATGGTTTATGATATAAACAGATGAGCAATGAGCACTTCTCTGCACCTGTGCATCATGTTCTGCTGCCTCAGCTGGGCCTGGGCCTGGTACAGCCCGGATGGAGGACCTCTGGGGACACGAGTGTGGTGTGCGGCCAGGGTGGCAACTGGCAGCTGTCCCGCCATGCTGGAGGCTGGGCCTGCTGGGGGAGAAGCTGGGAGCTCAGGGAAGATTCTGGATGCTCAGGTCCGTCCCTTGAAAATAAATAAAGTGTGGATCTTACATTGTTCTACAAGAGAAATGGGCGAGCATCCCTTGTTAAAGTTAGGTGTGTGTCATTTAATTATGAGGAGGGTGGGATTATGTTCCCTTTAACACTCATCAGCGGTTTCCTCTTCCAGTTTGGATGGCACACTCATCTTCCAGTCCAGAGGTCTAGTGACTACCCAATGTAATTCATGTTTTTAAGCTCAGACGTTTTATAAAAACAGGCCCCATATGGTTTTTATTCTATTATACTGAAACATTGAAAAGAATTTGTTTTTAAAAGTATGAAAAGCCAGATGAGCCATTTACAGGCTTTTACAAATATAACATTCCTTTTAGACATGAGAAATAGTTATTTGTTAAATGTATAAGAGGTAAACTTCAAAAAACTGCATCTTGCTTCATAACTTAATAACCCAGAATTTTAAAGACATTCCCAGGTACCGCTTCCCCGGTTCTGTTTCCCCACATCCTGCCACTGTAAGTGGGGAGGAAGTTCAGTTCCCCCTGAAACTTGCCATTTGCTGCATACAACACGGACTCTGCCACCTAAATATGACACTAATGGTTTCTCTGTTAATATATTTTTTTCACCCATATGAGAGCCAAGGCTTATGCTCCTTTTATTTCTAGATATATATGTTTTTTTAGTCTCTTCTAGCCAGCCCTGGAAGGTGGCATTGGTCACCAGCTACCAGTCAGCAAATTGTTGCTTTTCATTAAGCTCCTTTTTTCTCTTAGGTGAAATCCTGAGCTTCAGGTGAGCCAAATAGTACTTAGTTAAAACTGGTAAGTGCAAAGTAGAAATTCTCCATGTCACACCAATGACCACCAGCTTTGGTCTCCATATTTGTTGAACAACCTCTTTTTAATGGTCTGGATGATTCAGGGTCTCTAATTTCAGGTAGGTCTGTGGCCATCTGCATTATAGCACATGTCAAATGATGCCAGGTCACAGAACTGTAGTTTTGTGGAGGAAGTCAGGACGTTGTTAAATTAGGATAGAGTTGCCAGATTTAATGAATCAAAACACAGGAAACCCAATTAAATTCAAATTTCAGATAAAGAACAAATAACTTTTTTATATATCTTATGCAATATTTGGGACTTACTTATACTAACACGTTACATGTTATTTGTCTGAAAGTCAGATTAAACTGGGTGTCCTGTATTTTATGTGGCAATCCTGCATTAGGACAAAGGAGCAATGTCACTTTATGTGGCCACTGGAGTTAGAGCATGGCCCAGCCCTGAGATTCCAGTGCCACGAGGTCATGTCAGGACAATAATCAGGTCAGGTTACCTTATGGCCAGGGGAAAAGCGAATCCATCACTCCAGATCCGGGTCTAAGAGATCAGGCTCTGTAACAAATAGAAAGTGAGGTTAGGAAACCAGATCTAAATCAGGCGACCACACTTGACAGTTTTCTGTGTGAGGATGTTCTTTATTACCCATGCGTGTCTTTCTTCTTTTATTCTCCCTAAACTGCCCATAAAGATGGATGTGGTTTGCTATCTAGCGATACGATAGGAAGTTGAGCATTAATGAAGAAAAGATGACTATCTGTCCTGGCCCTGGACTCTCTGGGCACTTAATGCTAACCAGCTTCTCTCCTGGTTAGTATTAAGATGGTGTCACAGGCTCTCTTATGCAGCCAGTGCTTACTGAACATAACAGGCTTGTTAAATACATTAAGGAAATAGGCATGGACCCCAAACCTGCCATCATGCAGTCCTAGTTCCTTGCTTCATGTAGCTATGGTGCTAGGGTAGGATGACGTGACAGCAAGGGAGGGACCCTGGGATGGAAATCAGGTCACCAAGGGCACAGTAGCACTCGGCTTCCCACGCTATTTCTATTTGCTTGCCCTGCAGTTAGAGTATTAATAATCCTTGTCCTTCCTGTGTGAAGGGCTGGATGGAATGACCAGAAGGGCTAGGGAATGTGTGTTTCCTGAGATGGACAGTTAACCAGATAGATACAGGGGAATGGCCACATGTCCCATTTGGCTCAGGATAGTCCAGATTACACCTGTCATTCCAGCATAATTATTAATAGCACCCTTTTTCACTCTCAAACATGAATGGTGCATTACAATGTCACTTGAATGATAAATGTGTTTGTGAATACCCACCTAGAATATATCTGCCACCAGAAACAAAATATTTGAAATTAGTACCTGGTAATTTTGATTTATCAGAGATCACACAATTGCAAAGTGGCCAGGATAATTGCACAGGCTTCCAGTCTTGTGTTCAGGATTCTATTGTTACACGCAGTCCCACTTTAACCAAGGAAGCAGATAATGACGTTCCAGGTGGAAAATGAGGGGAGAGGATCCTTTCCTTCCCACAATCCCATAGGGTAGGATTTCTCAGCCTCAGTACTACTGACATTCTGTGAGGATAACTCTCCATTGTGGGGCTAACCATCTGGAAGATGTTTAGCAGCATTTGTGGCCTCTATCCACTAGGTGCCAATAGTGGTCCTGCCACCCCCAAGTTAGTGACAAGCAAAAATATCTCCAGCCATCGTTACACATCCATGGGGGCAAAGTCATGCCCAGCTGAGAATCACTGTTCTTGAGGTGGAGACCTCTAGGAGAAAGGTTTTGTTTTGTTCATTTGGCAGTAGTCATAATTGGACCTGGGGAAGTTGCCAGTTGTACAGTGACAGCTCCAAAACGTAGACTTAACAAAAACCGTGACAGTCGTCACTGATATTTTTAAAGCCCTTTATACTTACCAAGAGCATTTTGTGCTTTAGACCAAGGCTGCTTTGGCAGGAGGAGAAGGTCTGCTGTTGCCAAGGGCGAGCCATGCCGCCCGTGTGCCGGGTCACACTCCCAGGACTGGGAGAGTAGGAGGGAAGTTCACAAGTGGGGTGGCTAACCGCTGTCTGATGGTCAGACATGTCTCTGGCAGTGACATCTTATATCATGAGGCGGGAGGGATCTCAGCTGGGTCTTGATGAAAGCAGGAAAGTGTTCATTGGTAATGAGTGGACACACATCTTGCAATGATATCACTACACAGTATAAAGCCCTTCCTTATATGTAAAGTTAGGAAATTGATGCTACTTCTTAATGGAATTGTTCTGACACTGTCTAGAAACTTCTCTGTGCCCCACAGCTTCTGGATACACATGTTTGCTTCTTGCTTCCAAGCTATATTAATATTAAGTACTGAGTCTGAATTTTGCTCATTATCTTGCAGAAAGTACAGGCTTTAAGTCTCAGACCTTTATCAACCCATGTCTAGTATACTCTGCAAATGCCTCCTGGGCACTCTCACTGGGCTCCTTTGAGTGTGCTGGATTCTCATTTTCCCTGTAGGGTCAGTGACCTCCATTCAAAAATATGTTTGTTGAGGAAAAAAAAAACTTCCCTCTTGGAGGGCAATCTGACTGCTTGTTGTAGAGAAGCATGGGCGTTGTGAGTCTGCCCATGTCACTATTAAAGCACGCGCAGCACCTCAGGAAACGAGGGCGAAGATACCACTTGTTTATCCCTTTATGCCTAATAATTTGGGCAGGTCGAATATGGAGCATCCATTAGTAGAGTCCTTCTATCCCTGCCATTCCCCTTTAATTCTAGATTAGAGTGAAGGGATAGAAGGAAGGGGAAGCAAGTTCTCTGGGGGCATGGTTATTGATAGGGACTTATCAATAACTGACATAGACATGAACTCAGAACAACCAGAGTCATAATGAATCATAGTGTTTCGGAGGGAAATCAGTTTGGGATAAAAAAAGGACCACGGGTCATCAGGGTTGGTAGATGCGACAGCACTTCCTGGGGTTTTCAAGCTTCAAGAAGTACACGGGGCATGGCAGAACTTGAGAGGAGAAAACCCAGCATTTTGCTCAGGTCAGCTGGATGCTTGGGCATCAGTTCTGAAGAATCTCAAAGGTGGAAAATTCCAACAGCTTCATTTTCTTAAAGCCGTCAGCATCCTCAAATATTAACGAAACGGGCAGAGTCAGTAATAAAGGCTCTGAGTGCTTGTCGGGGAGAGACAAGATTTCACTGGAGTGACAAATGGAGTCACGGTTCCAGGGAGCAGGTAAGGAGATTGGGGCATTTACTCCATGATCCTACACGGCCCAGACCGCAGCGATGCTGTGGAAGGGACTTTGTAATGTGAAACAAGTACTGTGAGGCCCTCCAGCCAAACTCTTCCAATTGAATAAATGTGCTCATTCCACTATATCAGCCAGTAGATGTCTCTGTTATATTCCTTCTGATCATTACCTTGGCCATCAGACAGTTCTGCTACATTACTCGACTGTACTGCTGAGAGAGAGAATTGACAATATTAAAACAACTCCATTGCTTTTATGAACTGGCTCTAGGAGACTAGAGTCCATTTCCATTACTGAGATGTGTTGTGTGCCTAACCAAATACTTTTGGAAGCAGATAATTAGGCATTGCAGGCTGTGATTGTTTAAAGAAGATATACAATGAGGTTTCAGACTTCAGATGTGGTGCTGTGAAATGTCTTGTTGTATGAAGATTATGCTTACTTTCAAAAGTGCCCCAGGGTTATTTTAGTTGGGAGTTTGGAAAGGGGCTGGACTTCCTTTCTGGAACACTCAGTACGGTAGAGGCAAGGGCAACATTTTAAATTCAAGGAATTCTTGAGTGGCAACTGGTGAGCAGTTCTAAGTAATTCCAGCTACATACACTCCCTGCCCCAGAAAAAAAAAAATCACACCTTCCTCATGTCTAAGAAATCAGGGTGTTGCTTTTGAAATGTTAACCTTCTTGTTCTTAAAATGCCAGTGCCAACATATATAGTTTGTATGTGCTGATACAAAGCATATTTGAAATCTGAAAGCATTTAAGAGTTAAATAATACAAGACCAGTATCTGGAATAAATTACTGAAAATGCTGGTGTAAAGGGAACACATTTACTACACCTTTTAAGGTCCCAAAGAGAGCCCTAAAGAGAAAAGATTCTTTTCAGATGAAATATATAAGTGGCCCGGTGATGATAAAGGGGAAATTTATAGGGAGACCTTTTCCAGACCTTCCCAGGTGGTCAGAAGCAAAGGTAGGATGATTACTGACTCGGGCGACACCACACCTGGGTGAGATCATGGGCACTGTTCATTGAGACCTCATCAATACTTCCAGAAGGTTCTAACTCTGGAATGGCCTTATGAGGAAGTGACTATTGATAGGGTATTGCGATAGGAAGGCTGTTTCTGGCAGAAGATCTGCAGGAGCAGGTTTCTAGATCTACATCAGCCAACAATGAGTTAAAACCTTGATATTCCAAGTGGACCATGGGCCCCTGGCATTGGTAACATCTAAGGCTTGTTAGAAATACAGACTCTCAGGCCTCACCCAGACCTATGGATTCAGAGTCTACATTTTAACAGGACCGTCAGGTGACTGGTTTGCACATTAAAGTTTGTAACCTATTGGGCTCTACCACAAATACTTCAAGGATCGAAGTCATGCTGTTTAGTCATTCTTTTATTCATTTATGTACTTAATGAGTATTGTACCTCTACTTTGTGTTAGGCAGGAGGCTAAACCCTGGGGAGATAGTGCTGAATAAAGAAAGACAAGATTTCTGCCATTACCACATTTTGTTTTTATATTTAGTTGATAAGCAGACATATTATGCTTCTTTATAGACCATCACTATTTGAAGTTCATGAATATTGACCCATTTAATCCTCTAACAACCTTGTGAGGCACATATTATCAGTTTTTGCATTTTAAAGAAGGGAATGGAGGCACAGAAAATTTACAAAACTTTTACAAGGCCACACAGCTTTTAAATGGCAGAGCCAGTATTTGAATCCAGAGAGTCTGACTTCAGAATCCAGGCTCTTAACTATTATGTTGCACTATCAGTAAATACATCAACTGTTTACAACCTATGATTTTGCTTTTAAGGAAATCAACAGAATTCTGTAGTAGTTAAAAATGGGGAGTAACCTCAGTTAGGCTGATTAAGGAAGGCGTTTGTGAGGAAATGATTAAACTGAGACCAGTAGGTGGGGAAGGACCCAGTCATGGGGCAGGGGGAGCAAATGTAAGCAGAAAAAATATCAAGTGCAAAGGTACAGAGGTAGAAAGAATGTGGTCCATTCTGAGACCTGCCTGAGACTCATGCCTGGAACGTGTAGGTGGTGGAGAAAGAGGTCAGGGGTGAGGCGGGGAAGGTTGAAGGGTAGATCCCATGGGAAGAGAAGCAGATAGTGACTCGGAGCCTTGGAGGACAGGGGCGGAGTTGGGGTAATATTCCAGGCCTAGAAGCTGTAAGGGTTCAAGCAGGAGAGTGAGGCCATCTGCCTGCAGACCTGAGCGCTCAGAGGAGAGCTTCCTGCAGGGAGCGAGAGCGAAGAAGCCGAGGCCGTCCGGAGGCCACGTGAGTGATACCGTGAGAGACAGCAGCTGTGATGGGCACGGAGATAGGAAGGGTAGCGGAATATCTAACACAAATGTACTTCTTTGGCATAAAGATTCTTATGCGCTGATTATTTTTTGAGAAACAGCAGACACAGGAGAAGCTCTGAAAACATTGAAGTTGTCCTTATCTAAGAAAAATGTACATTTACATAGGAAATGTACAAAGGGTGTTTCCCTCTCTGTACCAGGGCGAGAAGGGTGGCTAAATCACGAGACACTCATATCAAGGGAAAAGGCACCCACTTAAATCTGTATAACAACAGTACCCTTATTTACTCTGCTTTTCCTGGTAGCTCCCAAATCCCCCCAATATCTTTCTTTCATCTTTAGCTGAGGATGGTATTTAAGGTGGTGGCTTGGGCCATCTTGGGAGTTTATTTTTCCTGGGTATCTCCTGTGTATATATGCCAATAAACTTCTGGGAGTTTGTCTCTTATTAATCTTTTGTTATAGGAGGTCTCAGCCAAGAGCACAGAAGAGTAGAAGGGACATTAATTCTTCCTCTTCTAGAGGTTTGAGATCTGACTTAGAGGCAGGACTAATAGTAATGATTTCTTGGACGTCTGTGTGTGGGCTGTTGAAGGAAACTGAGGCAAAATTTTAAGAGTTTATTTAGGCAAAAATTGATTTGAATTGGGAAGTGCCAAACTGGAAGTGGTTAGGAGCTCTCTGGCCACAGAAGCTGGCAAGCAACTTTTATAGAGAAAAGGTGGAAGCAAAGCAAAGAAATCACTGATTGGCTATTACCTAAAGCCTAGTTGGCTGTTTGTGATCAGTTATCCTTAGGTTTTGATTTTAGCTGTTTGTGATCAGTTATCCTTAGGTTTTGATTTTATAACGTTGAGGCCTTTACAGACTTAGGTTTGGGTTTGCTTACATAGGCCACTCTAGGCATTAGAGCTGCATCAGTCCAATGGCCTCCTTGTGAAATTAATTTAACAGTATATGTGGCTTTGAGTGTCAGAGTATGTTTCTGATCGGTAGTGTTAGTAAAAGGGAAGAATTATATTACATCAGGGTTTCTAATTTGAGCACAACGGATTCCTGGTTCTGCTCTTTATTGTGATAGCACAAATTGGGATGAACAGATCTGAGTGGAGGGAATCTTGTACTCTTCTTAGGGTACATTCATTTGAGATACTTATGGGACTTCCAAGGGGAGATGTCAGAGAGGCATCTATGTTTTCCAGCATTTAATTCTGGGTCTGGAACAGAGCCAGCACTTAATCAATATCTGTTGAATGAATTTCAGGGAAGAAGACCTCCTTGTATGAAAAGATATATAGCTCCCTGGGTGCTTACTATCACCTGAAAGTTGCTCTAGCAGATGCCATAGCTTTGCTTTTATAGTTGGTAGTTGGGATGACATACAAAAAAAAAAAACACCCACCTAAACAACCAAACCAACCCCAGATTACAGAGAGGTGCACATTAGTTTCATTTACACTAAATTAATTTGCATGACAGACCCCAGAACCTTCTTGAAAGCAGATTTCCACAGGTAGACGTCTGGCATGGGAAGGGAAGATGGTGCTAAGGTGTCAGTGCCTTGCGATTGTGTTTTATGGGATAGAGTATTGGCAGTAGCTAGGAGAATGCCCAGTGAATGCTGTTTTGAACAAGATGTCTAAGATGAGTTTACTGTTCCATTAAAGTAAATTCTATGACTACAGATTCTTTGGCGATTTTGAACATTGCCTGAAAGTCATTCACCTCCTACACCCACATCATACACACTCCATACTTTGTCATCTTCTTAGCTTTATCTGTTCAATTACTTCATACATCTTAGGGTCATAGAGCTATTCACGCTATACTAAAGATGTGCTGAAAAAGTACAGTTTTCCATATTTGCAGGCCGGTTCAAAAACACAGTCCAGTAATAAGGTAAATTATCTCTTTGAGTTATTATTTAGATTCTTCTGTACACCCTGTCTTCTCTTAAGATAGTGTCAGAGGAAAGGAGAAAGATCTTCCCAGTTTCAGGCAGAAGGGGTCTCACCATGGTTCTTGGGTGAATGCTGGCTGGTGTTTACTGAAATCTGGTTTAGCTCACTGCTTCCCCTGGGTGTTCTGTAGCTGATGAATTTGTGGAATGTTTCATAGCTTGATAATGGTTTCATAGCTTGATATGGAGCCTCCCTGTTGACTGACCTCCTCTCTACTCTCCATGTTCCTGTAGATCACTCTGAGTCCCTGTCAAGTCCTCTAAAGGGTTCCTGGACCAGACCTTCCAGCACACAGCCTGCCAGGGCTCTATGGCTCTCTATGCAGGGTGTGTGACACACATGTGTGACTACCAACCTCCCTCTCTCCACGCCCTTTCTCCTTCAGACCTCAAGAGGAAGGAAGTTTTTCCTTGCCATTTTTTCCTTTTTTCTCAAAGAGGCCCTGTCCTTCTCTCTATTTCAGTGAAGCTAAAATGCAGAATGGCTATAAGGCATAAAGAAATATGCATTGGAAAATATTTCAAAAATACAGTGGTTATATATACTCAGAGTCTGTGACTCTGATGAGAGGCCCAAGGTGGTGTAAAATGAGGCCATGGAAAGTCTCAAGATATTTTTGATGACAAAAGTGCATCCATCTACAAGTAAGAAAATTGGCCCCCGGAGGAAGAATATCACATATCTCTGTTCTTTTGTTGTCATATTGTTTTCATTGGCAAAGAAAAGTCTTTCTTCTCCAGGAAAGTGAAATTTATTCTGTTGTGTGAGGACTTAATAGAGCCTACTGTGTGTTCTGCACTCTACTCAGTGCTGTGGGGGAGAAAAAAGATAAAAGGTACATTTACTATCTACAAATAAACTACAAACTTCTTGGGGAGACATGACTCACACTTATGAAACTGTTGATAATGAAACCAGGTTGGATAGAATTGCTGGGGTAAGTATGTGGTGTAGACCTTGAATGCTAGAAGAAACAAGGGGTGGGAAACCATTTTGGACTTGGGGATCTCTAGATCTGATGGTTCGTATGCTAGATATTGAGAATGGCTGTGCTGCAGACAGGCAGAGAGGCATGGAAAGGAGGGTGGGGAAGGTAGGAAGGTAGGGGGAACAACAAGAACCAAGACTTTGAAGTATGACTAAATAGTACTGCGTGTCCAATATGATAGCCAGTAGCAATAGGCTTAAAATAGCACTTAGCACTTAAAATGTGACACTTTCAAATTGAGATGTACTGTAACTCTAAAACATATATCAAATTTTGAAGTCTTAGTATGAAAAAAAGAAGGTAAAATATCCCATTAATAATTTTAAAATATCGATCACATATTGAAATGATCGTATTTTGGATATATTATTAAAATTAACTTTCCTATCTCTTTTTACCTTTTTTAAAAAATGTGGCTACTAAAAATTTGACATTACATTTGTGGCTTGCGTTAATTTTCCATTGGACAGCACTGGGAAAGAGAAATATGTCAGGGAAGAGATTGCTTAAAGAAATAGGTCTGTGTAGCCCAGTAACTACTATGTAGTTCTCTCTCAAGGAGAAGACCCCAGCTTTTTTTTTGTCAGAAAACAGAAAAACAAAAAACAAAAGAACTTCCACAGGAAAGTAATTTTTCATTGAGTACAAAAAGTAACCAAAGATTCAGTGATGCAATTGACCCTTGAGTGATGTGGGGGTTAGGGGCGCTGACTCCCGTGCAGTCAGACGTCCTCATACAACTTTTGACTCCTCCAAAGCTTAATTATTAGTAGCCTATACTGTTCATGGAAGCCTTACAGATAACAGAAACAGTTGATTAACATGTATTTTCTATGATATATGTATTATATGTTGTATTCGTACAATAAAGTAAGCAAAAGTAAAGGAGATGTTATTAAAAATTATAAGAAAGAGAAAATATGTTTACAGCACTGTACTGTATTTATTGAAAAAAATCCACATCTAAGTGGCTCTGTATAGTTCACACCCCTGTTTTCCAAGGGCCAACTGTATTTCTAAATGAACTCACATTGTATGGATTTCATACAAACTCTAATGGTTTCATATATATTAAAAATAAGACAGCTGTGGGTACTATGACTTTAGTCATGCATGAGACTCTATGGCCCCTTGCACTAACTCTGAGATCCCCTTGGGGTGTGCAATTAAACTTTAAGGCTGAATCTGGGTGGCAATGATGCCACAGTTGGAAAGAGAAAGCTGCCTGTATTGATAGAGGCTTGAATGCTGGGCAAAGGAGTTGGAACTTTATTTCCTAAGCAGTTAGGAATCTTAGATACCGCACACTCTCCCACCCTTTCCTTTGCTTGTCTAACTCACATGGCTTTTTGCAGACCTCTGGTCTTGCTGGTGATTTTTGCCTACCTTGCATGGGGTATTGCTGTAAGTGCCCTTGAGCTGCAAAGGAGGAAACTGAAGGGAATTCTAAAAGAGAGCTGAGACTTTCTGGGTGTCCTTAAACCTCTTTTAGAACCACTGTGTAGTGTCTAGTCAAGTATGTCAGTTGAGGACCTATTGCAGGCTTGGTGACAGCTCTGGGACTGTTGTTACCTTACAGCCAGAGACCTGCTGCCCTCTCATCTTCTAAAGTCTCTCAGTGTCTTGAAATCCCTTTCCCAACTTGTGGTAAATGCCTGACTTCCATTTTCAATGCCCAGTCCCTTGCTGGAAGATTCAAAGTATCAAACATACCTGTCAGGTAAAAGTTAACCACGATCTCTTGTCCCAAACCTGCTGCTCTCAGGGCCGTTATCTGGGAAGAGGTCTGCGTGGGGCCATCCTCAGGGTAACCAAAGACATACCATTTCAGGGTGTCATCTGAGGTTGGTGATAATTATAGTCAGTGAGGCCCATCCCAGATGGGGTTGAAAGGAGATGTTATAAACTTGGGTAACCTTGCTACTGTTTAGGACACAGAGATTTATTTTCTGGATGCTTCCAGCCTTTCTCAGGAGATTTTGTCCTGTAAGTCTTGCTGACAGATTTATCCTGGGCTTCTTTCATTGATGGCTGTTTTCTCACTAAGCAGCTGGAAGGCAAAAGCAGGGAAGGTAACTGCCAGATGAGAGGTCATTTGTGAATCGGTGCCATGAAGTGGACATAAATTTTATGTATTCTGTGAGGCATTAGCTATTGCTTGTGCCTTGTCCTGGATTTTTTCTTTGTGAGGATACTTGCCATTGGTGTTCACATTATTGACTGCAGCAGTAATTAGAGATCTAGTCCTTGCCTGTACAGCATGCATAAGCTGTCATGATGCCTCTGACAGGAGGCACTTGAGGAGGGAGGGTTTGGTTACACCCACTAAAGCAGGCCAGGCAGAAATCCATGACCAGGCTTCCTGACAGCATTTCCAGGAACACTTTGAAGCTGGTAGACATCCCTGCTACTCTCTCCAAACCCCTTCCCCTGTCATCACCACCCACGACCTGGGGAAAGATTCCTGTTTGACTTTGGTTTAATCCAAGTGGCAGGGGTTTTATAAGGAGGCAGTGAAGGGACAAAGGAAATAAGGGAAGAAATGGTACCAGAAAATCACAGAACTAGGCCTAGAGAGACTTTTAAAGATATCAGGTGCAGGGTTGTTTCCAGCCTTTCTTTTGTCACGGAATCCTTTGTTCAAACAAAATTGCTGGAGTTAACATTTTTTTAGCTCATACTATAAACTGGGACACTCATACTATAAAAGTATAAAAATGCTTTATACATACTACCTCAATTAGTCTTCACAAAAACCCTAGAGGTAGGTAGTGGTATGGTCTTTATTTTCCAGGCAAGGGAACCAGCACACTGATGCCAAAGAACCTGCATGAGGTCATATGGCTAAGAAGAGAGGGAGTTGGGGTGGGGAGATGCTGCAACTGGTGTCAGAGCTGGTGAGACACAAACTGGACATGGTGGGAAGTCCCCCTGAGACATGCTCCTCTGTACCCCACTGGGGGGAGAATGAGCAAAACATCAGGGAGCTGCTCTGGTTGAAACTGGGATGAGGTGCAGCCCAGAATGACCCATTCAGCTTATACCCCTCACCCCAGGGCCCTTGAAGGGAGCTGACCATTTCCAACCTAGCTGAGTTCCCTCATGTTCTTGGCTGATGAAGCTGAGAGGCTATGTTTGAAAGGTGCTGGCCTTGCCTGGAGTCACATAGCCCTTCAATGGCAGAGTGCAGCTACCTTGATTCCCAGACCATGGCTGACCAAGGCCCAAACAGTAATGCCAAGGCACCAGGCTGCACCTGAAATTCCATTGTACCAGTTCCTCAGAGCTGAGAAGACTGAGTAGGCCATGTCCAAAGAACACCTTGGATGTTTACAGAAACACAACATTTTGGTACAACTAGGAAATGGCACCCACCCTTCCAGGGCCCTGCCAGCAGCTGATGCAGCAGGTGTTCAGGCCAAAGTCTGACCTCCCAGAATGACACCGCTAAATGCCTGAGGCTCTGCTCTTAGACTTTCTCACACAGCTTCAGTTGCTACTAAAGGTGGTGCTCTTCAGGGTCTCACATGTTTTCCCTGCCCTATTGACAGTTTAAAGTCTGTTTTTTTTCCACTTTGGTGTAGAAGAGCCCTTCTAGAAGAGCTACTTCATGCTGTTTAAAAAAGGAAATCGACTTAACCTGTCCTTCTCCTTCTTGTTAGCTTTTCCTTATCAAAGAAAGGGACTTCAGAGTTTTAATTCAAGTTCCCAATCTACCCTGAGGTTAAAAATGTGCAGGCAGTCACACTGATATTCAGCTCTAGTTACTTAATCAGCCTCCACCGCCACCCCCTCTATGCACGCCCAAGGGTTCATCCCTGCTGAATCTTCCCTACTCTGGAGAGGGGAGTGAAAGGGCTCATTATGAGACCAGGGTGCAGGCAACAAGTGGGGAGTTACTGGGGATGCGGTTGGTTCACGTTTGTAGCCTCACGTTCAGGTGCCAAATATGGATGCTGTCTCCCCTAAGTTTGGATCTGACGATGCAGACATAAAGGGTAAATGGTTTTATATCTTTGAAAGGAAGAATTATTGTTTCAAAACATTTAAAGCTGCTTTCTTGCAACCAGGGCCAGTTTTTTGGTCAGGTGACCTGTGCAGCTGAATAGGGCACCAAGCTCAGAAGAACTCCTCATTTGAAAGAATGCTCTGCTGTCACCATTTTGAAATTCTTAATACTTTCGGAACACGGGGCCTGGCATTTTCGTGGAGCACTAGACCCTGCAAATCATGTAGCCCTTCCAGCCTGCAACCCAGTTTGTGACATGTGTGTTTGTAGTGAGGGTGGGGTGGGAGACCTCTGTGTGTAAGGGAGTGAGGACCCACTCTGGTTTGCAGCCTTTTTATAACAACCTGTTCTGGCATAAGGGTAGATGTTTAATTCAGAGCAAAACAAACAAACAAACAAACAAACAAGCAAAAAAACTTGCACTTTATGAGCAGCATATGGTTGCACTGAATTTAGTATCTTACCTTTATGAATTAAAAAAACAGTTATTCCTCAGTGCCCTGTTCTATTTTTGGCTTACAGATCCTGAGACTCCAATGTCTGACCTTTTCTAACCAGGGCTTGCCTTGCTGGCTGTCAGGTTACCACGAGTCAGGGCCCGAATGCCTCATGCATTGTTTTCCCCTTGGGTACAGAATGAGACCTAATAATGAAGTAAGGAGTTTCAGTATTGTTTATCATCCTTTTAGTTGATAATATTTAAAATAAATCTTCAAATTACTTGTAGAAATTTCAGGTCATTACATTCAAAAGACCCAGTGTTATTTTTCAAGGTAAATGTTGAAAAATGCCAACATCATAACAAATTAGTTTATTCACATAATCTTTAGTAAAGTCATAATAAAATATATATTGACTGTTTGAAAGAAGACATTAGAAGGCAAATGTTTCATAATATGATTATAATTATTAGCAAGATTATCAACATCAGTTTAACATGTTATAATGAAGAAAAATAATAATAAAATAAGAGGAGAGCATAAGTAGCTTAGTTCTAAAAAAAGGATAATGTAATTTGTAATCTCATTTGTCAAGGAATGTCAAAAACCAGAAGTCGACTTTATTCTGTAATTTAAAATGAGGCAGGGGCCAGTTAGGCCCTGTCATCTGGTTCTGTAGCTATTGTTTGTAAACATATATGGAGCACTGCCCGTGGCTGGATAGTTTCGACCTGTCATTTGCTCTCAGCCTTCCCAGAATAGCAGACCAGAATGCTGCCCCTCATTTTGAAAGACTGTGCAGTGTGTTTGAGGGTCTTTAGGGTTTCTCACCACAAATACTGAAAAGTCAAGTGTCCACAGGAAACAAACAGGCTACCAAAATGGGTAAATGCCTGGCTGGGGACTGGGATGGACTGGAGAACCATGTCCAATTTCAAGTGGGCAGCCTAGTCTGCAACTGACGATTGTTAACTAGAGGGAATATTGTTGTCAGAAGCTCTGATTTTCTGAAAGGTTAGGTCATCTTCATGGGAAGATTTGGGATGTTGGCTAGTGAATCAAACTTTTAAAAATTCTGCTGTCCAATAAGCAGACAAGCATCTGTGGCTGACTATTGCCACAGACCACCCATCTTTAGCCAGTACCTGTCTCTTGTGTGGGCTAGGGCGTAAGAGTGGAGGGGAAGTAAGACATCTTAGGGCTGTTATTTTCAGAAATCAATTGATTTTAGTTTATACTAAATGGATTCCTTTTTCATTAGGTTATGGGCCAACCCCTTTTTCTTGTTCTAATTTAGCTGACGCTAGTTTCACTGGCTCCTTCTGCATGGACTCCGTTTGCCTAACTACCGAACAGGAGCAAGAACCTCCTGATCTTTACTTCACACTGAATATTAGAAAATAAATAAGTAGAAACAGACGTTTCTGACCAAGAAATATGCAATGAATAGGACCACATGGTGAAGAGGGAAAAATAGAACTTTTTGGCTATGATTTGACATAAATGACATGGAAGATCCTTACCATTCTGACATATTTTATGGACTGGGCATATGTTAAGGGGAAATGGCCCAAGTGACCACACTGTGTCTCACATTCAACCCTGAAATTTTGTGAAATTGAGTGATTGACCTGTTAGGATTTGTGCATTATTTTCCTTATTGGTGAGCTGGTTACACTAAGCTAAGATTTTTTTGGATCGATGGAACCTACATTAGTTTATTTCTGAAAGGGAACAAACACTGGTTTATTTTGATAGATATGTGTGGGGCGTGTGGGCGTGGGGTGATGTGCTGTGTATGTGTGTGTGGTGGGGAGCCGGTGGTGTGTGTATGTGTCCTTCCCAAAGAGCTGCTTTTGATGTTCGCAGACTCAGGGCTACGGCTGCAGTTCACTACAAGACACCCACATCCGGGGATGCTAAGCTCGTGTGATTACCCCTAAATTTATCTCTCCCTTCTTGCTGTTTTGGTTTCATGACAAGCTCCTCTTCTCTCTCACCAGCTTAGTTACTTGTCTCCTAGGACTCTCTTCAAAGACAAGTGTCAATCTGCTGATGATTTGTTTCTTTCTCGCTCATTTTACCCTTTCACATTCACATCCTGAACCACCCTCATCCTTTCTTCTGTCACATTCCTCTTTTTTCCTTCCCTCGATGCATCCTACTTACTCCCTACTTCAGGTCTTCATTTCTTATGGTTTAGTTTGCTCTTCTTTACTTCCTTCTTCTCTTTCAACCCTACCTTATTACACAATTTCTCAAATTCTCAGATCTTTTTCTTGTTTCTGACCCACTTCATTTGCCTCTTCAGACCAATGTACGTGCTTCTTCCCTTCGCACCATGGTTCCCGGAGAAACGAACCACGACTTCTCCCCCATTCCTCTCCCCCTCTCCTGCCTCTCCCCTCTTT